AAGTCATCTTCAGAACCACCTTGCCCATGCCTTCCACAACAGACTGAGCAGAGTTTCCCATCCACACCTTTTCACCCTCAACGGTCTCAAAGGTGTTGAACATCTCTCGGTTGCAACACAAGTGCCTGGTTGCACCGGTATCAATGAACCACTCACGAGGGTTTGAGCCCACGAGGTTCACCTCGGTCACCATAGCCGAAAGGCTAATCTCGACCTCCTTCTGATTGCTATCTCCAACAACATTGACTTTAGAACACTTGTTCTTCTTCCTTGGGACCTTGCATTCAGATGCTCTGTGGCCATGCTTGCCACAATTGTAGCATTCACCAGGAAACTTGTTCTTGGTAACGCCGCCTTTCGGACCTAGCTTTCGCTTGTCCTTCTTATTCCTCTTGGAGCTCTTACCGTGCTCCACAACGTTGGCCTTAGCGCCAACAACGATAGGAACTTTCCTATCATTCGTCATGTTCCCTTCCTCAATCCTGAGTCGCTGGATCTGGTCCTCCAGATTCATCTCCTTTCGCTTATGCTTAAGGTAGTTCTTGAAGTCCTTCCAACCTGGAGGCAACAAGTGGATCACGAATCCCACTTGGAAGGCTTCACTTAGCACCATGCCCTCGTCACGGATCTCATCGAAGATTAATTGCAAATCTTCTACCTGACTTAGCACGGTCTTTGAATCAACCATTTTGAAGTCGAGGAATCGGCCAACCACAAATTTCTTTGAGCCGGCATCCTCACTTCGGTATTTATGATCCAAAGCTTCCCACAATGCTTTTGATGTGCTTATCTTTCGATATACATCATATAGCATGTCACACAATCCATTCAGGATGTAGTTTCGGCAAAGGAAGTCCGAATCCTTCCAATAGCCAACTGCCATCACGGATTGTGCATCTTGTTCCTTCAACTCGGGAACTTTCTCGGACAAGAACCTTGCCAAGCCGAGAGTTGCTAGGTAGAAAAACATTTTCTGTTGCCACCTCTTGAAGTTTGAACCAACACCGGTGAACTTCTCCGGCTTTTCTGCCGAACCACTCGGTACCGAAAGTACCCGAGACATGGGAATATATCCCTCAGTGCTCCCACCATCTTGTGAACCAACGGTCACTGGTGTAGCTTGGGAATTAGCAACATTGTTGCCATTTCCTCCATTGTTGTTCTCAACAACATTTTCCTCCCCATCGATTGGCAGTACGGGATGCTCCATTTTCTTCAAGGAAATTCGGAGAAGACCACCAACGGGAAAAAAAATGAATAAGGCTTTAAGACTGTTGGAACCGTTGGTAGAAAACAAATAATAATCAAATAAAATATGACTATTATTTTCTGGGAAGAAGGGAAGAAAAGATGAAGAAAAAGGCTAGTGTTTGGTGTTGGGTTTTTGCAAGAGTCAAGTGAGCACTCTTTCCTTAAAACCTTATTTGCCACCTCCCAAAGATCCTAGGAGCGTTGTGGCCTAGGCTTCCCAGGATAAAACTTGCTAGTGATTCAATGTTTGAGCACTCAAACAAGGAATCCGGCGAGCAAGACACGGCTATGAACACAGTATGGCTAAGAAGAGTAGAAGCAGGATTTTGAGGCTGGAAAACAAAGTTTCGTGCAGTGTTCTTACTGTTCTCACTGTGTGTAAAACTCTACTGCCTCTACCCTCTCTTATATAGGGTTGAAGGAGCCAATAGCCTTTATTATGGCAATTAAAAATGACATTAAAGCTGCCTTCCAACAGCTATAACAGCAGGCCACTACCTGGGAATTGGAGTTGTGCTCTCGGTTCACCACAACCTTTTGTGCCCGCAGGTGCCGGCGCACACGAGCTCGGGCTTGAATCAAGCCTTTTTTCTATCTCGTGTAGTTGGAATTTGATTTGCACCCCCCCCCCACCCCCCGCGCGCAAGAGAGCCTCTATGCTATACAATTCTACACAACAAAGATATGACTTGAACCTATGAATAGCTCATAAAATAGCATCCAAGAACCCTAAATACAAGCTCTAAACATGCATTATCACAAGATTATGCATCAATCACTCAAACACATCAAGAATTTCACATAGAAGCCAACAATCATTATTATCAAGTGAATATAGGTTTTGTGGAGCATGGGTTACCTCTTGTAGACCAAGAACACCTTCTTCAACCTCAAAGCAAGACCAAATCTCCTCTAGATCAACCTAGCACTTCACCCACCACTAGATCTTCTACAAACTCCCAAAACCCACAAGGTAGAAGAGTGATTTAGAGAAAAGATAGAGGAATCTTGTAAGGAAATGGTAGGGAAGGATAGATCTTACCATTCTAGCCTTGTAGTGTTGGAAAGTTGGAATCTTGGTGAAAGACTAAGCAAAGCTTGGAAGTTCCTTTTCTGACTTGGAGAGCAAGCTAGGATTCTTTTAGAGAGAGGTTGGAGAGTTTTTAGAACTTTGGCTAGCATGGAATGAAGACAAGAGGTCTTGCTAGGGCAACATGAGCACCTCTCACTAGTGAAAATTAAAGACCAAGTTACCCTTACTAAGGTTTGGATGAATAAGGGATTGAGGTACAACACACAAGGCACAAGGTACACCAAGAAGACTAGTCAATTTCTAGTCCTTCGACTATGAAATTTCAGGATTTTAGGAAGAAGTTACCAAGGAAGGCTAGGATTAATTCCTTAATTAATCCCAATTAGCATTTAGATTTACGGGGTGTCACAGTGGTACTGGCATTGTGTTCAAGTGATGATCAACTGGCACTACTTGTCATTCTTGGAAAAAATATCTTGCCCTTTCAGCAATTACCCTGGGCTCCATTACTCGATTATTCCACACCTTATCATTTCTAGCCTCCCAAAGACTCCAACGAAACATCACAAATATTTCAAGAATGGACTATAGGCATATTTTTTAGGGCTTCCTCCACCCATTCTACAAAGGATTCAATGTTCAGTGGTGGGATTTGCTGGTTGAAAAAAATTCATTGTTGAAGATGCTAGCTGACAGTAGACCAGGATATGCATAAGTTATAACAGACTCCTCACTTTGTCTGCATTGTTGCCACATGATAGGAAAATCCAATTGCCTTGCTCAGAATAAGTCTGTTGTAGGTAGGCAGTTGGAGAGGGCTTGCGAAAAAAATACTTTAAAACCTTCGTTGGCAGTTTGACTTTCCAGAAAACAGCTCAATTTGTGATCTCAAATTTCTGTAACTCTCCCATAAGTGTTCTATAACAACTCTTAACTGTGAATATACCATTTTCTTCCCTGGCTCATATTAGTTTGTCCTCTCTTGCCTCCTTTGAAAGGCGAATGCTAAGGATTAACTCAGCATCTCTTTGACTAAAACTGTCTCAGATAGCACCAGTGTCCCATTCTTTTGAGTTGTGTCTTATCAATGCTTCAACATTTTCATTTGCAAGGTAAAGGAAAGGGGGTAGTTTCCACCATGGGATTGGACTGATGAGGCAACCACTTATCTTTCCATATAAGATTGGATTTACCATCTCCCACCCTCCATCTAGTATTCCTTTGAAGGTTTTTTTTTTTTTTTTTTTTCAAACAGGCTACTTCATGTGAAAGATATATTGGTACCTCTACTAGCCTCAAGGAGCGATGTATTTGGAAAATATATGCTTTTAAGTAGCCTGCCTGCTAAGGAGTTTGGATGAGTTATAAGTCTCCAAGCTTGCTTATATAGGAGCGCAAGCTAGGTTGAATTCCCTTAAGCTGCGAAAACCTAGCTAGTCTCCCCACTTCTTAAAAATACACAATTTTTGCCATGATTTCCATCTAATTCATCTTCTTCCTCCTCCATCTCCATTCCACCAATACGCATTCATAACCACTTCCATCTCCTTCACAATAGCTTTAGGAAGCATGAATATATTGTATAACATGTTTTAGGAGCACTTCTCTTCCGACTTTTTGATAAAAACCTATGGTTCCAAACTCTGAATTCTTGTTCTCATTCTGTTCTTTAAGAATCCCAACACCTCCCTCTTGTTTCTTCTTACCATTGAAAGGAGTCCAAGGTAGTTTCCAGAATTTCCTCCCCCTCTAATTCCCAAGATATTTCTCACCAAAGTTTGTTGATCATGTGGGACATTTAGGTTGAAAAAGATGGCTGATTTCTGCATGTTGATAACCTGGACAATAGCCTCTACATATCTTTCCATAATAGACTTGAAATTGTGAGCTTCCTACGGGTTTGCCTTGATGAAAAAGAAGAAGTTTTCATCTGTAAACAGTAGATGGGTAATTTTTGGGGCACTCCTAGCTATAGCAATTTCATGCAACATACCTCTTTGAACTGCCTTGTCCATCAATTTACTCAATCCTTCAGCAACAAGAATAAATAAATATAAGGACAAGGGATCTCCTTGACGTAAACCTCTTTAGGGGCTGATTTGACCAATTTCAGATCCATTTTTCAGAATAATATATCCAACCGTTGTCACACACTTCATCAGAAGTTCCTTGACTATTTATTATATAAAAGAGTAATTAAGGCATAGCTCAACTCGCTAAAAATATGTATCCTCTTTATAATACGTAAACCATTGAATGTTAACCCTGTCGGTTATAAATAGGTGTTTGTACGTAAGAGGAATATGGATAATTTGGTGGTGTGATATAAAGCGAGTTTTGTAGCCAATGGTTCACGCAGAGACCCATAATTGATTCTGGAAAAAATATATTCTCCCACAATAGATGGCATTAAGTTCCGTTACTAATATTATTGGCAGTAAATAACGAATTTAGATATGCAGCTAATATTTATTTTCATAAAGTCCCTGAAGGATTTAAAGTTCTCAAAATGAGAGAAAACTATGAAGGTTTTATGTGTCTTGAAATAGTCAACAATTGACTAAATATTTTTTCGTCCTGAAGAAGGAATATGCATATTATATGGGTCATTATGTGTTCATTAATGAATTACTAATGGAGTTATTTATTTTCTTATTTATTATCTCAGTCTATGTTGATGATATAACTATTATTGAAACACATAAGGAGTTTAAAGATATTGGGTCATGCCTAAAGACGGAGATTTTGAAACGAAAGACTTGGAAAACCCAAGTATTATCTTGACCGGCAGATCGAGTATCTCCTTGAAGGAATGTTACACACCAGTTACTACTTGAAAAACGTCTTAGTTGGGTACTAGCTATCTTATTTTGGAGCACTATTTTGGGACCAGAAGTTCAATAATCGTACCAGGTTTGATATTGTATTCGCGATAAAATTGCTAGCAACATTTAGCGCTCATCCTACAATGAAATATTGGAATAATGCTCAACATATCCCCTGGTATCTTCGGGGTACAAAGACTTGACATTTACATGAGAAACAAAGAAATGGTTTTGATAGGTTACTTGGGTACTAGCTATCTTATTTGATCCCATGATGCCAAGTTCCAAATTGGTTATGCTTTATTTTACCCCCATGTCATATATAAGGACAATATAATAAAGCTTGTGTTGCACAAATGATAAATGAGTATTTTATTAATATTTGAAAAAGTATATATAATATCAAAATTCAATCCACGTGAGATCTAGAAGAGTTACGAGATTGTTATAGAAAATGTTCACTCTAGTGACAATCTTGAAGATTGTAGAATATCCCTTTTCTACTCATTTTGAAACAATGTTTTAAATTATATTAGAATATGTAGACTTTAAAGATTGTTATCTTTAAGTAGAGCCGTCAAAACGGGCTTTGTCCGCCGTTCGGCTAGTCCCGCTCCCTATTTAGGTAGGGGGTGGGTTTCTAAATAAACAAATTTTGTATATTAATACTAAATTTAATATTATGAAAAATTGAATTAAAAACAATTTCAGTCTAGCATCGTTAACCGAACTAAACATACAAAATGGGACGGAGGGAGTATTATTTACATCACAAATTATATTATATATTAAACTAACTAAATTCAAACTATGTGGTCTAATGGTACCTGGGTTGGACTTCCATCTGAAAGATTATAAGTTTGAGCCTCAATGGAGGCGTTATTGGTTTTTTGTGTTTCAGTAGGTTGAGAAAGTATATGAACAGATACTACAATGTAATAGAGCCAGTAGCTTTCAAAAAAAAAAAATCAAACTAATAACTTTTTAAGTTTTGAAAATTAAAACTATTTTAATGTGGAATAAAATTTGGTGTAAAATTTAGTGTAATAGGTTGGATATGGATAAAATATGGTGTCAACATATTTCTTCTTATGTGAAATTTGATGTAGATTTTTTGTGTTTCGGGTTGGATATACAAGGATAATGTGGATTTCAAATTTTGAGTTATAATTACATTTTTTTTTGAAACGTTTGCAGAGTTGCAGCCTGAAGGAAATAACAAATTGCAACTAACCATGCATAGTGAACCACTGAACCACAATTAATGTTGTTTCTAATTTTGGAAATCCGACACCGTGCCTCCACTTTAAAAAAATGTCTAACTCTTTAGGAAAAAACTGCATCCACTTAAAAAAAATGGCCAAAAAACTTCTATTAATTAATATATCAAAAAAATTATAATCATTAGATCTCAAAAAATCAAAAACCACAAGTAAACCACATATTCACACCTAAAGAATAGTTGATATATATATATATATATATATATATATATATATATATATATATATATATATGTGGAAGGGTTCAGGTGCGGAGATGGCTTCCCATGCGGTTGGACGCACCTTAATCATTAACATGGCTCATCTTAAATACACAAATCACCATGAACCTTAAGTCCACAAACAAAGCACCTTAAGAACACAAATCACTTACCTTAAGTACAAAGCCCAAGCACGGAACAAAGCACTTTGAGCACAAAATTCACACACTTAAGATTTTAAAATGTCTCACATTAAGCACAAACTCACGCACATTAAGTACAAAACACACGCACATTAAGCACAACCTCACGCACATTAAGCACAAAACCCACGGACTTTAAGTATTAACTCACAGACCTTAAGTTTCAACAACTACTGACATTAATCACTAATGTCACACACATTAAGTACAAAACCCACGCACATCAAGCACAACCTCACGCACATTAAGCACAAAACCCACGCACTTTAAGTATTAACTCACAGACCTTAAGTTTCAACAACTACTGACATTAATCACTAACCTCACACACATTAAGCACAAACCCTACGCACATTAAGCACAAACTTCACTCACATTAAGAACAAATCTCACGCACCTTAAGCACAAAAGACCACACTTTAAGTTTTAACAACTACTCATATATATTAAGCACAACCCCACGCACATTAATCACAAAACTCATGCACCTTACGCACAAGACTCACGCATCTTATATACAAAACTCACGCCCATTAATCACAAAAATGCTCACCTTAATTTTGACCTAGTGGCAAAAATTACAAAATTGTCACCGCGTTTTTTTTTTTAAATTTTGGTAATCCTGGACGTTGATGTAACACCCCCGATTTCCATACTGATTTAAAGCTTAATCAAGCAGATAAACTAACCATAAAGAGCATACACAGCGGAAGACTAGATATGAAATAGATGGAAAACGTAGAGTGTTATGCCACGTCCACACAACGGTGAACGCACACGCGTAAACCACATCAACATAATCTGTCTATCCAAGAACAAGGTCAACGACAAAAGTCTAACAAAGGCACACAGGCCAAAACCATTACAAGGTTCGAGGGATCTATACTATCTGTCTCTAGACCGCACTTGCTTCTACTCAGCACCTGAAAGAAACACATAAATATATGGGACGACGCCCGGTCAGCGAATGATGCTGGTAACCCACCAATACATGTGAAATATCATATGTAGATAGTTTATATATACAAAATCATTTGCGAAACGGGATATAGTATATATAAGTTCAAATCCAAGAGTAGAAGTCAAACACAAGACTCTATGCACTCACAACAAAGATAAGGGAACACATCCCAAGACAACAAGAAGCAATAACGACTCATAAGAACGGCTCAAGGCATATTCTACCATCACTTAGTAGAACAACACCCGACATGCATAACACAAGAGAATAAGGATATAACCATTGGCAACACATGCCTTCGTGACAACACATGTCACAAATAGAGAATCACACAACAATGGCAACACATGTCTTCGTGACATCACCCATCACGAATTGATATGCCTTCCTTATGCCCGGTTCCAACCTTATGGCTACCCTAACCTTATAACTAGTTCCAACCATTACCTCCAGGACCCCTGTACACCAAGTCCAACCTTATTCCCCTGGGGACCGTCGTCCCCCCTCCGACAACCCTCCAACAAAACCACCGATTTCATAGTACACGAGGGTACCGATCACACATGGCAACACATGCCTTGGTAACACATGTTACCCTAAACAAATACGTGAACCTTACACAAAGGTCACAAACTCCATAATCGCGTCATGGCCACCACGAGGACCACTACCGTACCTTGGTGACTAATGTCCCATACCATTAATCGTGCAATCCAGGTATAGCCACACACACAACACCATCACAGGAATCAATCAACGGATCACAACAAAGATATGAAATCATACTCAACAAGGAATGTATCACAATCCGACAACAACGATGATTAACACAAGTCATCATCCACAATAAGAAAGGACAAACAACACACATGCTAGCATTTAAACACCGAACTAGCATGCTTATCAAACGGGTAAACCAAACATAGTTTCGAAGAACACACAAAACTCATCACGGTTCAACGAATCACAAGGTTGAACACTTAGCACGATTCAAGACACCAAAACCTACATGGAATCCTACCATATAGTTCTAGACATATGAAACATCAAGAAGACACTCAAATAGTTCCACAAAAGAACATCGGAAAGTCAAAAGACCAAATACCGAGTCAAAAGAATCACGGGGAACAAATCCCCAACAAACCACAACTTGTACCCCGCGGGTGGGGCCACGAGTAGACCCCCACATGTGGTACCGCCCGCGCGTACCTCACCCACATCACCATGTACCCCGCGGGTGGTGCACTACCCGCCGTTCCGCCTGCGGGTACACACCTGTACCACAAATAATCCCTTCGAGGATTTTCAACTCCAAGCTCAAATTTAAGTCCAAAACATGCCAAATCTCACCAAATACAACAAAATGACTTGAATCAAAGAAATAGCCAAGCAATGGCATACATGAACCCTAATAACAAGCTCTAGATATGCATTTTCACAAGACAATGCATCAACACTCACATTTCATAGCAAAATCACATGTAGAATCCAATAAATCATCATATAGGTAAGCAAAATAGATTTTTTAAAGAATGGGTTACCTCTTGAAGACTCAACTTTCACTTTAAACACTTCACAAAGCTCCTAACAAGGTCCCCTTTCCACACCCACTTCAAGAACACACCAAAAGATCATAAAGATTTCACCTTTAGAAAAAGATACCTTAGAAAACACTTAAAACACAAAAGGAGCATAGATCTTACCTCCTAGATGCTCAAGAGTAGGAAAGGTGGAATCTTGAAGACAAACTTTGGAGATCTTGATAACCCTCAACTTAGCTTGGAGAGAAAGCTAGCTAGGTTTTTAGAGAGAAGGAAGAGCTTATGATTTGGAAAGTGTTTGGGAAGAAATGAAATGTGTCTCCTAGGTTAGCTTGGAATACCATTACAAGGAAAATGTCTTCTTTAACCTTACTAAGATGAGAAATGTAAGGGAACAAAGGAACTATTCACAAAGCTTTAGGTACAACACTTGACTTTGGGTTGACTAGTCAATTACTAGTCCCCGACTATTGAATTTTCAAGAATTTAAGGAATTAAATTACCAATTGGATTATGATTAATTACTTAATTAATCTCTTAATTGAATTTGGATTACGGGGTGTCACATCCTCTCCCCCTTAAAAGAAGCTTCGTCCCCGAAGCTTGGGTACGACGAATTAGAACAAACGATGAAATGGAACAACAATGTGACAAGAGTGTCGAGAACATCCCCTTTTGGTCAAACCTCAAGGATTCAAAAGATATCAAGAATAAGCAAGAAGTAATAGCATTGCAAGGATTGAAAGAAATAATCAACGGAGACATTGAGCATATCAAACTCTAAACCAAACACAACCACCAACTTCTATTCAACACCCAAGATCTAAACA